GACAAACGCGCGAGAAGGCCTCTACCACAGTGTCGTTTACTCCGGATACATGGCGAATGTCTGATGTAAACTGTGAGACGTAATCCAGTTGTCGTGATTCCCCGGGTGAATATTTATCTGAAGGTGGGTTCAGAGAGTACGTCAGAGGTTTGTGAGCAGTAAAAATTATGAATTCACGACCCTCTACTGAATGTCGAGAATGACGTTTGGCACAGTACATTGCCAAAAGTTCTCTGCCAAATGTGCTGTACTTCATTTCGGCTAATTGAAGGTGCCTGGAGAAAAAGGCGAGTGGTTGCCACTCTTTGTTAACTAGCTGTTGTAGAACTGCGCCGATTGCAGTGTTAGATGCATCAACCGAGATATTTAACGGTGCCGTTGGATCCTGATGCATCAGAAGTGTGGCATTCGCAATAGCTTTTTGAACTTGGGTAAAAGCATTTCGAGCAGACGCGTCAAGTACTATGGACTTGTTATTCCCTCGAAGAAGGTCTGTCAGTGGCTGAATCAGAGAGGCACAGTTGGGAATAAAGCGTCGATAATAACTTATCACGTTGGGCTCACCAGTTTAAAGGTTGACGGTATAGACCTTCCCGAACAGTACTGGGTATAAGAACGCAAGCTCTTATACCAACAACTTCTAACGAAGTTGAATCTCACGTACCAAAGGCAAAGCAAAAGACTACAATCCGTTGTCCAAATTACGATATATATATTTCGGAACTAACTCGCGGATTGAAGCAGAAGCTAAGCTAGCTAGTTATCGTGCACGACAGTGACACGACGGAGTACCAAACGGTGGGGATGCTTGACCGAAAGGTTTCAGTTAAAGAAGTCGACTCAATCTCTAATTGTGAGCCTGCCATGTTCACTGATGATTCTTATGGTCAATAATTTTGAGGAATTATTTAGCTCAACAATGTTTTGAGAGCATGGCTAAAGGCAATGAAATCGAAAGAATGGCTGCTTCCACCGAAATATGTTCATGTGCATGATTTCCTAAACTTGTGCACAGTACTCATTTATTAATAGCTGGAAACAACTAAAACCCTGGAAAGATGCATTATAAATAACGTATGAAACAATTACAATGAAATGAATTCTCTGACCTGGCAGTAAAACTTTCGATACCAACGAAATAGCTAATTTTAAGAGCAACGGAAATAAAAGTGAGCTGGTACGCAACATTTGTAAACGATGCGAACAAAAGAAGTTGTGAATAATGCAGGATTAATGAAAAAACCAACGGCAAAAGAACAGCTACGGAACTTCGATCCAACATGGCTGATTAACATGGACAAAAAGGACCCTCAGGCACCTCACTTCAACAATAACTTTGGAAGTAATGGACAATTTCAGTCATCAGAAGCTATTAGAACTGAAATTCGATATTTGGGAAGGTAGGTAGGTTTACCGCCGCAGTTGAATTTCAAGGTCGTAATGACAGGCAGCCTGTAGACGGACGTAGGTCATTTGATCAGCTGATGGATATTGGCGTTATTTATTGGAAAAACGTCAAGGTCAGGTCATTTTTCGGTGACTCTAAAGAATAGCGGCCCAAACCGAAACGACCTTTTAACGCAAAAATGACCTTGACAGGGACAACTTCGGCCAATGAGAAGGCTCAAAAAGGAAGGCGCATAATTGTAAAAGACGGTTTGTATAAAAGTAATGCAATCATAATAAACAGTTACAAAGGATGGCGCTCGCGTATATGTCTCAAAAAACCTCCCAGTTTCTCATGGGAGTCTTCATAGTCGTATGAAACCAGTTTCGGTACATAAATTCATCCAGGTAACTGTAAATCATGGTATTTCTCGATCCATTAACCGCTCTTATACGTCTTTTTAGACGACTCCTAAAACTTTCAATGGAACTGGTGTGGGTTCCATCTAAAGGATTCCGGAAACCGTCCATATGATTAACAACACGGTGAATGTACCCATGATTCGATAATTGACGGTATCCGCTCCATTCATCTGTATGAATAGTCGTCCCCGGCAACACCAAACGCTTAATAATAGGCACTAATACTGCTGCACTGCGACTGGGAATCGCTTCTATATACCCTTTGCACATTGTCGTGTCGTAGATACCCAGTATCCACTACTGGTTTGCTTGTAATCTCCCACGGTTGTATTTCCTTTCTTTATGTACAGTCTCATCGATATGGACTATGCTGCCGACTCCTCCGAGAACTTGAGTAAGGGTGTTCATTTTCCAGGAGGAAACATCTCTGCAGTAGTTGTACCATTGCACTGCTGACACCTCTGAATTTTCTGTTTCATAAGCTGTAGCTGTGACTGCTCTTTTCAGGACCCAGAAGTTACAGATCATTAAAATTTTCGTCAAAGGTAGTTTAGACCTTGAGAGAAAAGTTCCTAAGGGATCTGTAAACTAAAAAACAACGACAAACCTTCTCGAACCGATTTCCTCCTTCGGCACTCAATACATCTGTATAAAAAGCCATCAATGGCTTCTGTCTATTTTTGTATATGCATAACTCCTCCGCATTGGCGAATTTTCGACAAAGCTATCAGTCCGTTATCCAAAAAGTAATCGAAAACATCCATGATTACTTCCGACAATGATACAGTCAGCTGATTCCTTCCCCAAGGTCACTTTTTTGTTCGAAGGTCGTTTCGGTTTGGGCCGCTATTCTTTAGAGTCACCGAAATATGTTATAAAGACTTTTTGTGAATTTATTTTGCAGTTTAATGGATTACGCATGGACATGATGAGGTGGGACAGCTCGTTTTGGTAATTATTTCAGTTACTTTGTTGTGTACTTTGCGTAAAATGCTGACAAGGCTCCTCCACATGTATTTCCTTAACAAAAATCTGCAGAAATACATAAAAATTATATGTGCATAGTATTTCCTTATATGATGGCATAAAGTTGATGTTAGCAGGCAGATGGAATATCAACTTAGCATTATTGAAAGATGTTGACTAACATAATTATTTACAGTTGAAATCATTATTTTGTCATTATAAGCATATTTCATGGTTAATTATTGTGTTTACACTGATAACAATGACTACATCTGTATAATTCTTATGTTCTTTTTCAGATAATATCTTCTTTCGGGAATTTCATGGATTTGGGTGATAAAGAAAAAGATACCTGCACTGTTGTCGATTTTGTATTACATGTTAATTCATTAATAAATGTATTCCTTGTTATTCGTTTGTTTATTCTACTTGATAAGACCGAATATTAGCCCTTGCGTAATTTGTTAGGTATAGAGTATATGAGGCTATCTTTGAAATACTAAGTAGGAGCAGATATTCGGAGAAGTCTATTGGTAAAACATTATGTTGTAGTAAAATAAAGTAAATATGTCTAAATCGTAGAGGAGGTATTGCGATTATAAAGCGTTTCGAGTTATCTATCGTCTTAGCAGAGTACATATACTGATTCGCGATTCCTAGTCACAAAGTGAGAGTAAACCTACCTGAGATAGTTTGCTTGTGATTTCTGCATGTCGCAATGTACCATAAGGAGAGACTATACCTATGCTGTTAGATGTATGACTCAGTACAACTACGGTTATCGTAATAATTAAAAACAGAATGCCTAGGGTTCTCAGTCAAAGAACACGATACGTTGCAATCTGCTTATATAATCACGTAAACAAAAGTTTTCCAGACGCCGCATTTACTCCTAACAGTTTACCCTCAATTTCTAACTTAGCACGTGCTACTTATGTTACTGGAACACAATTGCATTACAACAGAATGAAGACAGATTCATTGAAAAATTGTTTATTAAACAAAATCAGATTTCAAATGTACAGATAATTCAGATGCGTAGTCCTATGTTACCGTCAGTAAGTTCCATCTGCGTACGCGGCACATATATGGTTTTCCATAAGTCTGAAAAGGTTTAAGAAAAGCATAATTAACTTGGGTATTACATGTATGATCTGAATAAGAAGATTTTCCTGATAAGCATTTACAAGTAATCACTTTACAAACAATATATATATGTAAATATAAGTAGCCCAATAGTTTTCACTAAACTTAAGGGACTACGCAACTTATCGTTTGTCGATATCTAGTAGGTCCATCGAAGCATCATGAAATGATAAAATTATTTAACGACAAGTTATGCAGTAGTTTTCAAAGCTTGTACAAATATTTTAGCAAAATTGACAACAATTTTATGACAAATAATAGGTCTAGACAGCAATAATGATAGCATTCATGATCATAGTGACTATGAAAACAATAATAGGTATTATTATCGCAACGAATTCATCATTAATTAGATAGACAACTAATAATAATACAATCATATCGAATAAATGTATCAATTAATCTTAAGAATCATGTGTTTGCTTACTTTCACTGTATTCTCTCAATACTGATGCGCTCAACCAGTTTATCCCAACTGAATTCAAGATTAATTCTGAAAGTGAGTGGAGATCCAGTTTATGTCAAATAAAAACATGTAGCTTACATGTATTACACTGCTTACTGAGACATCTGGTATCTGCTTTCCGATCTTCGTGACAAGAACACAGTTTATCTAGGTTTACCTACATATACAAAAGTATATGTATATGCTGCATCAACCATGCCGTTTTTATCATGATTAGCCAGACCACTGTGTATATTATACTTATTTAAGGATCTCTGAAAATAATGGTCAAGCGATAATTGAAGTTGCGTGAAGTTATTACCTCTTCAAGACATTGTTTGCATTCTTGACACTCCTGAGAAGTCCTTAGATTGTAATTTGGCATGAATTCGTTGAATTCAGCAAATAAATCTACTGCTATATCATCTCTTTCCTGAGCTGTAATAATTTGTGTTGTCAGTTATCTCTCCAATTTGATAAAACGCTCACGGAAATTCAGGACCTAACGAAGCAGCAGAATGATGTTTGAAATTACCTCAACTCGAATGACAAACTGGCCAATCACAAGCGAGCAAATCGCTTGTTTATCTCATTCGCGGTCACTCAAAATTACGTCCGTCGACAGGCTGCCGTAATGACAAGAGGAGGCCAACTAGCTAACAGACAATCAAAATCTGCCTATGTCAATTTTTCGAGAGACCAGTATGGTGTTATAAACGTCTGTTGTTTTTGTATTGTAATATGCTGTTAGTTTATGGATTATTGACTGAAATTTAATAGACACACAAACATGTGACCATGCATGGTCACATGTTTGTGTGACCATGGTCACTAATTTAGAACTGAACTGGAATGTGAACGCGCAACTAAATCATGAGTATAAATCTAGATGGATGTGGGGCTGTAGTTACCTTTAATTGAAATTCAAGTCATGGATTTCCCCATTTTTCCCACAAAAATTTCCTGGGATATATTATATACATCGTAAATGAGTGGTAATGCTTATTTCACATGCAAGTAGGTATTTTTAGCGTCTGAGGTTACAACCTACTTCTTGAAACTTACAATCTTTCGATTTCTGAGGAAAATGCATTTGAAACAGAAGAAATCGCAGAAATTTTGGCCTACGGTTTCTGATTGAGACTCGAGTGTTAACTTTGGAAAATTATACTATCTCCATCAGCATAGATTTACGAATTTAAGTCTGTTTGCAACTAAGTGCTTACGTAATAATAGTTTGGTATAAAATAGTGTGCCGGTTAGTGGATCAGTGTTTGCTGGAACAACCGTTTACTTTTAATGTCCATATTTTATTGTGAAGTCTCTCTTTACATTATATAGTGACAGCCATGAAAGACACAGTTCCTCGCGCAAACATCGTCGCCGTAGTCGTTCGCGTTCTTCGTAAGTGTTATCGTTTTTAACACAGTATATTGTTTGGAAATGTTCCAAGAAACGTTCACACCAAATTTTGTGGTAGTTTTTGCTGACATTAGGTTTTGTTTATGGTTTTAATTTTCACCTAGTTGTATTTCATTTTTGTATTCTTTAGATTATTGTATCACTGAATTACTTAACTTGATATGTGATAAATGGGACATCATATAATAGAATTGTTGCGTTACAACCGCCTTTAGTGAACAGTGATTTCAGTTAAGGATTTCCAAGTTGATTATATAAACATTCGCACTGGTTCATTATCTTATAGGCTCAGGTGTTAAGATAGTTGCTCGATAGCATGTATTTTACGAACCCCTTTGTAGCTAGCACCATTTTGCTTGTACTGTGACGTCGCATCTTGGAGCTTGTTATTATCGCAAATAAGCAGCACAGTTCGGCTATTCCAGTTAGATTCTGTTCTAATGTAGAACTTTATCAATTCCTACATTTTTGAAAAATACGTTAAAATTAGTCAGTATTTCTAAAACGATGGTTTCATTCGTATTTAAGGAAGAATTAGCTAGACGCTTATCATAGATCGACAGAAAGACTCCTATGGAGGAAGCCTGGCAGAATATACAGTTCGCGGTAGACACAGCTGTAAAGGCTGTTAACAACCAAAAATCATAAGTGAGTAAAAGCCAGTGGATCCCTACCACCTCGTCCGAACTGATTAACGCAAGAAGCCTGATTCCGGCGGGCTCCGAATATAATGAGGGGCGAAAGCTCAAACGCCAACTAACAAGAAGTCTCCACAACGATCGTGAACAGTGGTGGGCGACAAAAGCGAAGGAGATGGAAAAGGCATCGGCGATTGGTAACACCAGAAAACTATTTAGGCTTTTTCGGGATACAGGTGGTAAACGGCAAATGATGAGTAAAACAATCTCTGAGAAAAATGATGCCATAATTAGCCCTCTCAGACGTTTGGAATGTTGGAAAGAAGTTTGAGAAACAATTTAATTTTCCTACAACTATGCTTAACCTACTGAACATCCAACAATTGCCTGAATGGGATATATACACAGGTCCTGCGTCCCTAACTGAGGTTTCAAAACTCACTAGTCTGAAAAAAGGCAAAGCAGTGAGGCCTAATGGAGTGTTTAAGGACGTTGGAGATAGTTTACTGTCTGCTCTAACTAAGGTATTAGGCAGTGTCTGTGAATCAGAGGAAGTCCGGTCGGGTTGGTGTTAGACATTGATTATCTCGATATACAGGAAAGGAGACAAGTCTTCCTGTGATAATCACAGGGGGATTAGATTGACTTATATGGTGTCTAAAGTTCTAGGCTCAGTAATCTTCCAAGACTAAGTGGTGATTGGGGGAAACAAACAGGCAGGCTTTAGACCAGGAAGATGTAGCGATCATATCTTCAACAGATTCTGGAACATAGGCATACTTACCGGTGTTCCACAATTGCCATATTTCTGTATCTGAAGGTGGGATTCGAGTTGTCTTATGAAGTGATGACAACCAGTGGTGTCCGTCAGAGATGCCAATGTCCCCATTTCTGTTTAATTTCATCATAGATGTACTAATGGACTTAGCCCTAACTGACTTCAGCGACTCAAGGATTGACTGGTCTGTTACCAGGGAATAATCTCTTTGACTTAGAATATGCAGATGATATAGTCATTCCACCTAGGTGAAGACGCTGGCAAAATGCAGAGTCTTCTGAACACCTTGAGCAGCAATCTTCGGGTGTTTGACACGCAATTCGCTCCTGTCAAATGCAAGACGATGCTACAGGACTGCAAAGACGCCTAGCTGAAAAGTAGGGAGTGAAGTGGTAGAGCGTGTTGACCACTCCACTTATTTGGGAAGTTGCATCGGGCAGCCCTAATAGGCTAATTGCTGACGAGATCTCAGCACGGATACAGAGGGCTCGTTTGCATTACGCCATCTCTGGCGTAGACGTGATATGCAACTATTAATCAAAGGACGTGTGTACTGCTCTGCAGTCCTCTTCATCCTCCTTTATGGCTGTGAGTCATGCTGGCCATTGAAAGTGGGAGACATGAAAAGGGTGGCTAGCTGTCTTTGATCATAGGTGTCTGCATTCTATTTCCCGTGTTAAGTGGTATAATAAGGTGAGCAATATTGAGGTGAGGCATCAGTCGATTGCTAGGTAGGAGGGGAAACTAATCGACGAGGATGTGAAGTTACACTGATCGAGATGTTTAAGACGTCTGTTACGCATACCCAGGCATCGCCTTCCTCGAGGGTAATGTTAGTTGGCATAGGACCAGGCTGGAAAAGAGCTAGTGATGGTCAAACGAAAACATGACACCAGTCAATGAAATCTACAACAGTTAGTTTAAGCCACGTAGTAAGGTGTAGACTTCCTGGTTGGGATCCTCAGAATGGTAAAAGCCAGTGGCTGGAGACAATTGGTGATATGGCTCAAAATCTTTCTCAGTGGCTGGCGCAGAGGTATCCACTATGTAATTTATATTATCCAATAAAACTATATTATTCCTTCATATTACTATTTTTCCCCTCATATTTCTCTTTATTGTCTGTTTTGAATCTTACTGTGTTCTCTTGCTTTGTATTCTACATGAAGCGAGAGTGGTAACTCGAGCTTCTGCACATTTGTGCAAAGTCCCACGTTGAAACCAATCAATCAGTCATTGGTTTTATTCATGTGAAATGGTAGCTTATCTAAGTTCTAAATTCTGTGTTGAAACCTTCACTTCAGTGTACGTCAACGGATATCACGTAGTTTACAAATAAATGTGGACAACAAACCAAACGCAGTGATGGATTCGGAGGTAAAATGTAGAAGAGTTTAGGAACTAGTAGAAATAACCATGGAATAAATAACCGCTGGTATAATTCCTTTCGGTTTGGACTCATTGGACTACCTTTAGTGGTTGTCGGGAATCGATAATGAAGTGCGTTTTTTATTTAACCAAGTAGAATCCGTTGCGGAACTTTCATATGAAGAACATTAAAATATTCTTTCTGAATATTCTTGTTGCCTAACAAACGTTTCAGAATAGCTCTATATCTGTAAAATCGATTTCTCCGGAGTGTATGTCAGTGGAATAGTCTGCTAATGGCGTTGGAACACTGCTTATTATGATTTAAAACTATGCATTTTATTATCAACTGCCATTTGTACGGGTTTATACTATTACTGCTAACAATTTTCACACAGCTGCAGTCCTAAAATATGCTGTCTATGCATGAAAGTTCGTGAGTCTATTTGGGGTTTGTACCCACCACCACTAGGTTATGGTGGTTTTGTCTTCTTTGGCTGTTGAGTCTTTGGCTGACACGGAGCCAAGCGAAGTGATATTTTTTATATTTTTGATTACAGCTTGATTCCACACCGTATTTTTGGTACAAGCATTGAATTTTCAGCATGTGATATCGGTAGCCCAAAATTTGCAGACCGACTATGGATATCAGGTGTGCGTCGGCAGAGAATCGAACTCTGGACCATGTGCATGATCGGCGAGAGTGCTAACCACTGTACCACCGACAAGCAAATCCCGACGGGGATGGGATTCGAATCCACGCGGGGAAACCCCAATGGATTAGCAATCCATTGGTTTTTGTGCGACGCCATATCCTAAGGTTTTGAAAAGTCTTGCAGTAATTTCTGAGACGTTCTTAGTATATAGTAGGACTACTTTTTTGCGTTTCCCTCGGAAGTCATTGATTAGATTGGTACGGTTGGTGGTAGCCGTCTTTTTATGAAGTTTCGTGGACAGTCATTTTTTTTGGAAGACGCCCATAAGGTATTTCTCTTTAATTTTCCTTAAGGTGGGAGTGCTGCGATGAATCGTGGCTCTCTTGAAGAATGTTTCTATACCATTACTTTTGTGTGTTATTGGGTTGTTGCTGTTGTACTTGGCCAGTTGATATGTATGAGTTGACTTCCTGTAAATTGCAATGACTGAGAAAAACACTACATTGGCCAAAGTGGACACCCGCCTCACCTTCGTATCCATGAACGTAAACTGGCTGTCAAAAGACACGATGTATACTCCCTCATATCATTGCATACAGAAAACCACGGACATCAATTCGATTGGGACAACGTTCAAATATTAAACAGGGGAAACACCAACTCTCCAGAGAATTTTTGGAAGTCTGGTATTCAAGTGGATCGACAATTAATAGACACATTCATATAGAGGAGATAAGGAGATCTTATGCAGAAAAAGTTAGACTCCAGGTCAAGGAAACAATCATTACCAATAAAAGTAGACTAGAGGGTGTAAAAACACGAAAACAGCCAATTGCGTCCAAGTTCAGCAGGAAAGATGAGTAATTAAGTCGTGGAGAAATTGAAAAGTTCACTTCAAATTGAAGTATGTGTTGAGTGTGTTGTCTAGTAAGGCAATAAAGACTTCGCGAGTAGGCCTTACAGTGCAAAGAACACAACTACATCAAAATCATTCACTTGAGCTACAAATCTTCTCCATTATATCTGAATAAGTTATCTGTGGGCCTTGGAGGATGATATCTTATCACCAGACATCGCCTAGTATCTTAATTTTCTCACTGAATGCTTTATGGGTACTATGCGTAAGCACCTATGAAATCATACCATCAATTTTACCTGCATCTCCTTATTTTAAATTCTTGGCAGAATTGGCTACCTCAGCTACAGCTGGTGGACCACTATCTGTATCCCATTTTGATCGGAGTGAATAGTGTGCAACTATTGTGAAGTTATTGCTTCTCAAATTGCCCTCTTCAATGTTACATTTGTTTATTTTGAGAGGTATTTAAAGTAGCGTCCTTCTCGGAAGCTGTTCGTCTTAGTAATCGTTATTACATCTTGTTTCCTTAGTGAATGTGAATAGTTGTGTTGCATTACTTACCCTGATGCCTTCACCATCTGTTTCGCTTTTGTCGCCCACGGTGTTTGGAAAGCTTTTAGTCGGTTTCTGTTTTGAACAGTTTCCATTCCTTGTCACTTTCGGAGTCCTCCGGAAACAGTCTTGCTTCTGTCAGTTCTGATGAAGCAGCCGAAATCCTCTGGCATACACTAACTTTTTTGGTTTTTCGTTATTAACAACCATTACCATTGTTTCTACAGCTGACTGGATGTTATGCCAGACTTATTCAGGAAACATTTTGTTGTCAGTCTCAAATATGTGATCAGCTGTTTCTTCCCAGAATGGGGACCTGGTGTTTTCATCAAGCTGAGTGCGTAGCGGCTTCATTGCTTCATACTTAGTGTCCGTTCAGTCATAGACCCATACTTGCACGGAGATTGAATGCTCCAATATAAAGTTGACTGGATAGTCTTTAGAGACTAAGAGTAGTGGTTTCCTGACCCAAGTGGTGAAAGAATTAAAAGAAAGGGGAAGACTTATCTGCAGAATATCAAGAGACACAGGAAAGGTGATCAGAAGCATGCTTTTTGGAGTTTGTGGGTGGCTATTACTTTCCGGTTGTCCGCACCTTAGAAGTTGATTCCTTCCTGAAATAGAGGGAATATATATGTCGTGTGACCCCAGGGCCCAAAAGACAGTTATTAGCTGGTCACATTTGAAGTTGTGTCCATATGAAGATTTTCTCACTAGCTGCGGACTGTCGCGGAGTAAGTCTGGACGTACAGTTCCTTGGGTCGACTTTTTTTAACCCTTGTTTCCTACAGAGCTGAAAAGCAGCCTAGTTGGCCTTTTAGTCATCCGGGGGAAACCCTCTACTACCGTTACTTCCTGCAGTACATTTGCTCCCTCAGATCCCTCTATTTAATGCAGGTGACTTACACTATGGTGGTGGCTACTTTTAGTTTAGCCTGTATCAGACGACCTTCCTGGGATGACAGGACCTGCAGAAACATCTGTTCCAGCCAGTGTGATTATTTCAATATGCAGAGCTGACCACCACTCCAGGTTAAAGGCCATCAGTTGGGCTCAGCCAGTCATTTTTATAATTTGACCACCAAGTGAGAATAAACATAAATAAAGAAAAACGTTGAACAGGATGAAACTTTTCGGGACTACAATTGTCATATCTTGATAAAAAATAGAGATTTTTTGTCTCACCAGCGATTTAGATAGTCATCTTATCTACTGTTGTGAAAACTTACAAAATGTTTTCAGAGTTTTACTTATATTTGCATAAAGCACATTCTGTTTCATAGTGTAACAGAAGAAGGCAAGACGTGGAAGCAAAGGTATATTTTCAAGTGATCAATCTCAAATACGTGGTCAGCTGTTTCTTCTCAGAATGGGGAGTTGGTGTTTTCATCAAGTTGAGTGCCTAGCGGCTTCATTGCTGCCTACATCGTGTCATCAAACCACGAAACCACTAACATCAACATGATGAAGTCAGGAAATTTCTGTAAACAGACTACAGAATAATTACTCACAAGTGGCTTTAGAAGTAAAAAATAAAAGTTGTAAATTACGTGTTACTCAAAGGCACAAAGTTGGAAATTTGTTAAAGTTAAAATTGTTATTGAGTGACAATAAAGGTAGTTAAGTGTCAGTTTAACAAGTGTGAAGATGGTGGGAAAATGTACAAAAGGAGCATATGAGAGTGATAATAGTGAATTAGTTATTAAAGCAAAAGCAAACTTAAAGTAAAATAAAAAATAAAAAATTTTTTTACAGGGAACGACTAGTGAAGAGGTGAAGACCAAGGTAGAATAAGAGACTGGACAAACTTTTTCTGTATACAGACTTCGGGGTCGTATTGACGAATTGCCAGTGCCTCCGCCATACACAAAAGCCGAAACCTGACGCCCTTTGTACCATTTGGCCTCACCTTGTAGATGTAGATGAAGCATGTGGCTTGAGTTCACCAAGTGCTAGTAATGGTCTTGAATTGTCTTTTTGCTAACCATGCCGGATAATGCTCAGAGATGCGTTTGGAAAGTGTGCGCTTTGTGCGGCTAATATAACTAGCTCCACACGAGCATGTGAATTTATAAACACACATTGAAATGGCCCAAAGCGGCAGTTTATCCTTTACACATCCATTGATCATTTGTCGGCTATAGAAATTGATCCGTAGCTCAGCCCTAAAGAAGGCTCTCCTCAGTGATCTGAATAGGGGATTCTTCAGGATCTCAGCTGCGGTATCACCTTTATATTCAACGCTCATAAATAACAGTTTCTTCGGTACGGTCTGGGTTCTTTCGGGCTTTTGCTTTAACTTCATGTTTTTCTCGATAAATCTTGGGGGGTATCCATTGTCTATGAGGACTTGTCTGAGTTGCTCCAGTTCCCTGTCGACTGTATCAATGGAACTTGTCCTTCTTATTCTTGAGGATAAGGAGTGGATCAGGTTTCTCTTTCTTTTCAAAGGGACCCATTTATGAAAATTCGTGTACTGACCATTCCATGTTGGTTTCCTATAGTTCGATCTTTGAAGAGAACGATCAGATTTCCTTTTTAGAAAAACATCCGAAAAATGGAATTCCGAGTTCACCTTTGATTCCGACGTGAAGTGGATGGCATGATGGCAGCTGATGAACTCTTTAGTTATCATTTCAGTGTCGGTATTGTTGTTACATATGATGAAAGTATCATACATGTATCTTTGGTACAAATGGAAATTATCGATAGTGGGCGTAACATACTTTTCTCCAAGCTTACCAAGAAGCAGTCTGCAAGTAAAGGACCGAATGATGACTCCTTTACCACTCCATGTATTTATCTATAAAGCGTGTTGTTGAACTTGAATTGGACATTTAAAGTGTGCCTCAACAGTAGTTCCTTTAAGTGGTGGATCGGAACACACACGTCTACATTATTATCCTCAATGAATTTGCGTATTAAGCAAATAGTTTCAGTGAGAGGAAAATTGGTGAAAAGGGACGTAACATCTATGGATATCGTTTTCTCCCCGGGATACATTCGCATCACTTATTGAATCGATGAATTCAAATGAATCTAAAACACTATGCTGGCAGAGATTTCTGATAGGTAGGAGGATGTCTGCGAGCCATTTGGCAGTAGCATGATATGGGGGATTTGTCATGTCCAAGGCTAGAAGTAGTGGTGTGTTCTCTCTGTGCACTTTCGGCAGACCATATAAACTGGGAATCACGGAACCTCAGGATCGTATTCGGAGCTGATAATCGATTCGTTCTTCATCTTCTTCAGTATTTGTGTTATCTTTCCTTCAGTTTGTTCCGTTTGATCCTTTCTGGTTACTTTCTTTGGAAAATTTGTTTTCATCTGACATGACGGATAACATTTTATCGATGTAGTCTTGACGATTCATCAGGACAATGCCAGCACCTTTATCGGGGCGGGTCAGAACCAAGTCTTTGTTCTTTATAATCTCACGTAGTTGCTTTCTGTGCTCGGCTGAAATCAATCTTTTGACATTTGGTTTTGTATTGATATATTGATGGCAGCTATTCGATACTGTAGACTTGAATTGTTCATACAATTTGTTGGACACTGGGATAGGCTCATTTGTTTGATGGATCAGTGCTTCAAACTGAACTTTAATATCCAAGTCACTCAAACTTGTCGAAATATCACAGAATTTTGGACCCAACGACAGAGCTTGCGACTGGATAGGAGTTAATAATATACTATTTCTCTGGTGTGGCATGAAAACGTGAATAAGTATCAGTGGCTTTGAGACTGCGAGTTTCAGGTCTACATTTTCACGTCTTCTCGAAACTGAATCGATGTAGTCCATAGAATTTCACTGCTCGTCTTCTGTCAGTTCAAATAGAGCACGTGTTCTTAGTGAAATGTTTCTTTCTATCTCTGGTAGTCGAGATTTTATTTCGTCGATCACATTCAGTGTATGACTTTTCAAAGAGCTATGATTTGGGTGGATATGATTGCAACGAAGACATTTCCAGTGGTGCTTGGGATATTCTTTCTTATCATTACAGCTCTTTAGAAAACTGATTCTTGTGTTCGCTATGGCAAGCTTGACAGAAAACTTGAGAAACGTATCAAGTTTTTTCAATGTCACAGGGTTCTTGCTCTGCTTCAAATCACCGAAAATACTGGTTGAGTCAGAAAGAAAAAAGATAACGTTGTGCCGTTGAGTGCCACGTAATTTACAACTTATTTTTTACTTCTAAAGCTACTTCTGAGTAATTATATCAATTATGTCACCCCCTATTACTCAATAATAGACTAATATACATTTTTGGTAAATATAAATACAACCGTACAAACAACAGAATACTTCAAAATTAAATCGCGACTGGTTCTTTCTGAATACGAATTGACTGTCGTAGATTTTAAGGTGCTAGATTCGTTTTATGATCAAAATAATTAGCATCAAAAGCGTGTACTTAGCGTGAATATTTTTAAAAACATCTATTTTCAGAAAATATCTACTTACACAATACGGCCTAGGTTAATATAGTGTTACCTAGTATGTCTTTAAGTCGTATTTCCTTAAACGCAAACATTAGTATTGATTTTGCTTTTATTATACAATGCACCAACTTTTATTCCAGTGAACGGGACAAAGAACTGCGTATACAAATGAAGTGAGTTTTTGATCCATGAATGTTTACTCGAATCATGTTATTTCTATAGACCTTTGGTGCTTGCTTCGGAGAATGATTCAAATCGACAAAGTGAAATCAGTTACATCGAAGGATCAAGTTTCATACAGAAGGGTTTCTCTTCTTCACGTAAACTAGCGACAGTGAGTTTATGTAGCTCTAGGTACAGATTGTTGTTGATATAAATGTCTTTGCAGCCAGCACTATAGTGCTGGCTGCTCTTTGAAGGTATCTGATGTAAAGCCTGCTATTTGTGTCTCTACGACTCCGAAGAAATTTGTTTGTTTTGTATGAAGTCTAAATCAGCCTCGTTTAATGATCATGTGTGAGAGTGAACCTAGATAGTCTGCTTTTTTACTGAATATCCAGATCGGTTTCCTACTTCTATGAGAATAATGAATGAGAGGTCTTACAGGAGTTTTGTACTACTTTTTCGCTTATAAAAGCGCTTCAAAGAGTAAAGGAGATAATGCTAAACCACAATGGTGATAAAGCATTTGGAAATTACTGAACATACATTTTGGTTTAAATAGTTCTTAATCAATCATAAAGCAAATTTTATTTAGACAGTCTCACATTATTATACAGTAATATTTACTTATGACGTTTCGAGCACAATTTATTGCTCATAATCATATCATGGTACTCACATAACTTTTTTGCTTCGTTTATACACATGAGTAGAAATTGATTAGACATCTGAACAAAATCATAATAAGACTTGCGAGAAACAGAAAGGAAAATAAAGTACATTTGGAATATTAGTGTTATTAGTGTTATCAATAAAATATAATAGAGTGGGAAACAAGACGAGTGTTGTTAGTCAATAACATGGGGGATAAGATGTTCTGTCAGTAAAACAAAATAAAACCCCAGTGGGAGTGTACTGATGAAGAGTCCCAAACTAGGATGAGACCGCTGTCCAGTGCTCCCAGGTTTTCCAATTGTTCTCAGGGTGAGAACATAAGAATTTAGCTAAGTGTAAAGTGATTGAACCCGGGATGATGAGTAATTTAAAAAATTTCAGCAGTTGCACTGCATACATTAACACAGCCACATAGTAGGTTACGGGAGGACACAGTGAAAATTCTAAAAAGTAATGTAGGTAGATGGAGAGAGACATTGATTACTGAATCCTAGTTCATCGAGTCTACAGCTAACGCATGCAATAGAAATGACTCAACTCAAATACCAGAGGTGTGGAATATGCTATTACCAATCAAATCAAAGGATAACAAGTAATGGTAAGATTTGTTTTATTTCAAATCACGTTGTAACACTTACATGTTACTTATTTGATTTAAATATTGGTTTGTGGGGATTTGACTAATTGGTTATAGGATTCAATCATGAGCTAACATCGGTTACAAAACCATTGGAAAACCTGGGAGCACTGGACAGCGGTTTCATCCTAGTTTGGGACTCTTCATCAGTACACTCCCACTGGGGTTTTATTTTATTTTACTGACAGAACATCTTATCCCCCATGTTATTGACTAACAACACTCGTCTTGTTTCCCACTCTATTATATTTTATTGATAACACTAATATTATTCATAAGTAAAAACACAGTTTTTGTTCAGCGAAGAAATTTCTTTTCAACGACTTCATTTTCAAGCTGTACAGTCGTATTTATATTACAGAAAAAGGTTACTAAGTGGCACTAAATAATTTCTCAGTCAATGTACGTATATATGTGATAAAAGTTATAAGGGGTAGAGTTGAAGTGGATAAATTACAAAAATATTAAAGAATGTTTTATAACAAAAATGTCAAGTGTTGTCTAAAAATTTTGAAAATTAGGAGTACGATTACGATAAGAATGAAGATGTGCAGCTGACGTGCAGCTAGTTTTTACCAGCCGAAATATGATTAGACAATGTGTCAAGGATAGATTACCGCTTTTGTCCACATCAATGTGCCTTTACTCTTTTACCTGCTCTTGTGGAGCTGTTTATATTGGACGTTGTAAGCGTAATCTCCGAAAACGTGTAGCTGAACACTATCCGGTTTGGTTAATGAAAGGCGAACGTAGAACTGCAAAGTCGTCTATTTGTGATCACCTGCTAGAGTCTAGTCATTTAGCCCCACGTGATTCATCTTTCAGTTATCTACATGGAAAAATCGAATCGATTCAAAAGTTTACGTTTTCTTCACTTATGCATAGCCGAAGCTTTAGCTATACATGAACAGAAACCTAAATTATGTGTTTAAAAGCGTTTTGTCAAACCCCTTTCTTTACCTTGGTCATAATAATTTTCTTTATTTTATTTTACCACTTGAATTCTTTCCACTTCACTTCACATCTTCATTCTTATCGTAATCGTACTCCTAATTTTCAAAATTTTTAGACAACACTTGACATTTTTGTTATAAAACAATCTTTAATATTTTTGTAATTTGTCCACTTCAACTCTACCCCTTATAACTTTTATCACATATATACGTACATTGACTGAGAAATTATTTAGTGCCACTTAGTAACCTTTTTCTGTAATATAAATACAACTGTACAGCTTGAAAATGAAGTCGTTGAAAAGAAATTTCTTCGCTGAACAAAAACTGTGTTTTTACTTATGGGTATTTTTCGAGACTAATATTATTTCCAAATGTACTTTATTTTCCTTTCTGTTTCTCGCAAGTCTTATTATGATTTTGTTCAGATGTCTAATCAATTCTACTCATGTGTATAAACGAAGCAAAAAAGTTATGTGAGTACCATGATATGATTATGAGCAATAAATTGTGCTCGAAACGTCATAAGTAAATAATACCTTATAATACTGTGAGACTTTGTGTAAATAAAATTTTCTCCTAAATGGAATTATGCTCTACAGCAGTGACCAAGTTCTATTTTAACGTCATTTCCTAATTAAGTAACTGGTCTTCATTTGCTTACTCTTTTCAGATGATCCAACCAGATTCACACTCGCGCTTGACAGGTGTAAATATATCTAGCAGTTACCACACAATGCTTGCAGAAAAGGCTCATGAAGCAGCCATTTTTGGTCATTCCTCCGTTCTTCTTCCGTCTTTTCTTGGTACTGATCCAGCGGAGGCGAAAGAACGTCTGGTATCATCTTTAGACACAGTGAGACAATTAATACATCACACGGTATTATTTACTTTGTGAAATTACTTTTCTTTGCCATTTCCATGCAAATTTTTCTCATAATAATTTGTAACTTTCAGTGAATAGTTTATTACTTTGAAAAATATAATTCACACTAATTGCTCTGTGTGCTAGGATGAGAGTTGCACCTGAATAAGTGAAAATTGCGTGATTACTACTCAACGTGGTTTACCATCCATTGGGTTATAAATGTAAACGTCTCTTCCACTGGACAAAGCTTGTGATACTCCTCACTGCACTTTGTAATAGTAACTTGAACTTAATTTGTCAGTTGCATTTCTCTGTGTATATTTATGAACTGAGAATCAACTACTAATATCACAACTAAATGTTTGTGTGACATTTTTTGCAGTGTGTTCTAATTTGTCTGCATAAATTACAATGTCTCACCTCGAACCTCTTATTCGGAAATTTTGTGGTATCTGTAATCTTGGCATTCGAATTCCTGTATCAGAAGAGAAAACCTATCCGGTCTCTTGAATGTTGAATGATTAGAGGTAAAAAGCTGTCTAAACAAAATGTGGTGTAGAACTGTAGAAGCTGATGAAGAAGTTATTGTATATTCTTTGTCCACTAACCAGTCTTTTAAAAATTTTAATGGGCCTCTTTAATCATTTGAAATATTATTTAATTCACTGCTGAATGCAGTGACGTGTCCCAGATAGGACGAAATGCTCATCCTAGATTCCATTGCTAGTCACCATCCACCAATTAAAATATTGTTAATTTATTTTTAGGCAAATATGCCCGCTGCACTTAAAAGCTAACTTCTTTTTACTTAAATAAAACACATTGTGTATTCTGAATCCAAAATTCAAATAAGAGGCAACACTAACAAACATTCCGGTAGATTGATCAATTGTGATGTGTAACTGAATAGCAAAAACCATTATTCAATAAATGATTACAGTAGCCATCATATTAAAAACATACGTAATTAAATTCATAAGAGAGGGTGCAAGTGAATAGTACTGTTTTCACTTAGATCTCCTCAGCCTTTACTTCAGTTTACAATTAGTTGTATTCTCTGAGCTGGTTGGTTTAATTGCAGAGCTTTTGTCATCCTTCCAACTAATTGCATATCTTTCCTACTTCGCCAACGGGACATTTAACAATATCGCTTATATGTCTAGTGAGTGAATATATTCATCCTACACACATTTCACTCAAGTAAGTCATCCTGTCAAGTTCGTAAGACGTCAAGGAAATACTGTGTATTCTCATGCTGCTCTTTACCAGCGAAAGTAAGAGAATGATAGGTGTTATTAAAGTACGTCAACAATTCACTCAGTTATCAACAATGATTTTCCATCCACATAACGGCATTGTTGGTGATGATACGATATTGTTTATGATGTTCTTTCTCGTGGTCTGTTTTCATGTTTCCCTAGAAAAAGTCTGTTGAAACTGGACCTAATGTCGAGTCCATAGTGGTTCCAGCTACCTGTCAAAAACATGTGTTTTTGATGACAAAATAAACATTCATCGTGTATTTGAGGGATAATTCCTTGAGACTCGACCAAGGAATTCCAAGACCGATTTGCCTTTCAATGATTCGTTTGTACATGTTAGCAATTTTAATCCATGTGAGGGGCCCTGTGATTGTACAGATCCGATAAATTAGTGACAACAAAACTTTGTTTATAATTAATAACGGTTTTTATTATAGTATGAAATATGGCAAGTATCATTTCTTCATTTCTACACAGATTTTAAGTTCACGCTTTTGTGGTAGTAAAACCTACGTATTATATGTCTGGAGTCAAAACTTCTTACTGTAGGTGACTTAGTCTGACCAATCTGACAATAGCAAAAGTCCGCCGTAAAGTCATTTTAAGTCTTGTGTTTTGATATAATAAGGGCTTATTGGGTTTTATTCGCTATTTTTGACCAAAAAAGTGTATCATCTTCTGAATCCAACCTTGTTTAGTTGACTAAATAGTGGGTTTTTAGTATTTTTCGCATATACATTTACCTTCTTTGGTCTATTTGTCTCCGACCACTGTATGTAAGCTCCTACTTTTATTATGGTTATAATATTTCTAAAGTGGTCGTATAAACGCTCTTAATGCTTAGTGCTTATTTTGTCTTTACGTTTTCATAGCTTGATAAGTCTGATTCATCTGCATGGAATATGTGGCTGACAAGACTCACTAAATTCAAGGAACGTCGAGCAAATATGCTTTCCCGCTCTAATACTTTCAAAACTAATCAAAAGAAAAAAATCAATGGTTTCGGATAATAATATTTTTGTTTTTTATACATACTTTTCATTTGTAAACTATTTGAAAATTGTGGATTTTACTATTTTGAGTCTTTAATTACTTTCATATATCTTAGGTCAAACGTGTACCATTGTACCTAAAATGTATTTAAAATTAATGGAAAGAACTTTGGACTTTCTGCTGAATTCTCAGACTTAGTTGAAATTTGAATGCATTAAGAATGAAAAACTTTGAGCAGTATTTGAAGAAAGGCAATCGTTAGGAAGTAAAGGTCAATTTTGAATTTGTTCGTGCATTTATCAGGAAATTGTGCTTTCGAAATTTTAGAATTTTTCTATATTTTGCGGTTCCGGGCCTTAATCTATCAGTGTTCCTATTTTGCTTAGAAGTAGAGACTTAATTTCATTGATTTTCCTTCGTATAATAGTAAAATATGAAGCTGATACCACTCGTATGATTACTTTGATTACTCAATCCAATCCTTCCTTGCCAGCAATGTCTGTCAATCGAATTTTGATTGATATCGCTCGATAACTCAGGTTCTATCAAAAGTAACATGAAATCACCTCTTACTGGACGTATTATGACAGTTGCTTTGTATTAATTTGCTTTGACTTTGTTATAATTCATAAGTCAGTAAATTCCTTTGCTCATGGAACTGCAATTATTTCATATAACTTTCCTTCAAGAGCATAATGTAGTATGCAGTCATTTAGTTGATGTCCATCCATTTGAAACTCACAAAGCTAGTCAACATATCCATTGTTATCTGGAATCATGATAATGCCCTTAAAGCCTCAACATTGTGTAAACAACTTACACTAACTTATACTGTGGAAATAAGTGCTCTTAGTTAAACATCTGTTCAAATAACCTTTCCAGGATCCTCAGGAACATTCTCGCTAGCCAGCATATCTCGTCGGGTTGTCGCTGTATATGCAAACCTGACCATCAACCAAGGCAACAGTCATCGATCGGTTAACAGATTTTGTAATTACTCCGTGGTAATAACTTTTTTTCAGCTTGGGTGAACTTGAGGTTGATGTAGATTTTAAAAGAAATCAAGATATGTGTTGATGATCTTCAGGAATTACATTACGTACTGGTAATTAATAATTTTAGTATTTAACACTAGCATAACCAACCCAACATACGGGGTTTTTGTTTCTAAAATTAAATATTTGGTGCATTTAGTACTGTTAGCGCGATATTTTCAGATATTCGGTCAATGGACTAAATTCCACTTCTGTTTTCAATTAAATACTTAGTCATCGTTGTAAGTCATGATTTAACAATTAGGTTACTATAATCTCCGGCTGAATCATTTTGCACAACTTAGTCGCTGCGTATCACATAAGATTGAAAATATGTTCTGTGCAACGTTCTACAATAATCTATCTAAATTGTTCACAATACTATGTATAGCACAGGATGCTAGAATAAGATTATTTTATTCAGATCAATAGTTCTTTCTTCATAAAATAAAGCGATACGCCAGAATGTATCAAAAAGGTATTAAATGCTCATATACAGTCATATTAACAGGGGATTCTTATGTTCAACTAGCACGGATGAACCAATCGAAAAAGCGTATTGAATGTGTCTACTCTGAGTCATGTCGGCAAAGATTATTATTATTGTTCCCTTGGGTTCCGAGTGGAACACAGGGCTTCAACAACACATCTCCAATTTTTTCTATTTTCTGCCATCCTCTTCAGCTAGGTCCACGATTGCTCACAATCTCTCATCTCTTCCTGACACTACATCTTCCATGTCACACTAAGACGACCCACATCGCTTCCTATTCAGCTCCCAGTGGCCTGTCTGGCGCGCGATGTCATTCGACGGCCTTCTCGACGTATACTCGATCCATCTACATTATCTCCTACATATCTGTTGAGCAGTTGGCTCTTGGTTGGTTTTTTCCCCCAGTTTCTTGTTACTAATTCTTTCTGGCCATTCGATCTTTAGTATGGAGCAAAGACAGCTGTTGATGAAAGTCTGCAACCTGTTGGAAATCCTTTTTGTGACACGCAGTGTATGTTTCTGACCCGTATAGAAGGACCGACTTGACATTGGCGTTGAGAATCAGAATCTTGTTCCTTATGCTGAGTGTGGAAGACTTCCAAACTGGTTTCAGGTTGGCGAAGGCTTATCTTGCCTTTCCGATTCTGACTTTGACATCTTCATCCGTTCCGCCTGTAGTTGAAACGATGCTTCCTAGATAAGTGAAGGAAGTAACCTCTGTTAGATCTCTCCCGTTGATGGTGATTGGTGCTGTTTGTTGCTATTCGTTGGTTATTCTCATCACTGCCGTCTTCTCTATGTTCACCTGTATTTCTGTCTTCGCTTCCTTTTTAACCTGTTTGTTGGTTGTCGTCTGTAAGTCTTCGAGTTTGTGTGACATTAGTTATATATTTCACCAGCGAAATCCATTTATTCTGGAGTCTTCTCACCGGACATCCAGTGTACTCCTGGCTCCCCACAGTCTGACGCATAATCCAGTTGACCACATTTAAGAATATCATTGGTGATAATAGCCAGGCCTGTCTCACTCCTGTGTTCACTTCGAACGCTTCGTTGTGTTTCCCGTTGTGGATCACTTAGCATTATCATGCAGCTGTTGAATGAGGTTGATAGAGATTTGGGCATTGCGTGTCGTAATGTTGAAGTAGTTTCCAAATTACTTCTCGGTCAACACTGTCGAAGGCCTTCTCGAAATTGCGACAGAGAGAGATTTGACTGCCATTTGTTTGATAACGGTGCGTGGAGTTGCAATTTGAAAAGGACATGATTTGCCTTTCCTGAATACAGCTTATTCCGGTTAGCGGAGATCTGTATCCAGTCCATCTTATATTGTCTCCACGATGATGCGACTTCTTATTTTACTTGGCTAGACATCGTCAGATATTGTTAGTTCAGTGTTTTAATCTGTAGGAGAAAATCTCTTATTATGGTCCTCGTTTGTCTCTGTAATAATGTGTTTTAACAGACTGACTGTAGATATTTTCTGTTATTCGACATTAACGTGCAATCGAATCAGTCAGTTTTAAGTTAGCCAGAATGAGAAATTATTCTCTAGTGGTCTGTTTGTTCTCATGAAATTAGTCTAAACAGAATGTACTGACGTCAGCTAGTTTTATGTGCATAGTCTGCCAACTGGTGGGAGACAACTTGCACAACAACTACGTGTCTAAAGTTTGTATGTGACTGTTATTTATCGTCTTCTGTTTTCCAGCAGATCTTCCTGCTTATACTCATACCAGAAGAAAGCATTGTTGTCAGAATGTCACAGTATTTTTCTGAGATCGATAAAATAATCTGTATTTGTTCCATCTCATGGAAGAGTTCTTTTTATCCGCGTGGTTACTATCTTGATAGCTGGGCAAGGTTATATTGATTTTCATTCAGTTCCAGATAACAACTACGGTGAGTCGGAAATCATATAGAATATTAACATTATACAGGGGATTAGAATTTTATTTTGAAGGTTCTTTAACAAGCTACAACTTATGTATTTTCATTTTGTACAAGATAAATTGAATTTTTATAGCTTAATTTCGTACACTTGACATGCTTATCAGGAAACTTAAATGTCACTGAGTCAATTTCCGAAGATATCCTGTTTTCTGTTAATTGAGAGAAAGAAAAAAATGCCTATAAGTATCAGTTACCATATGAGGAGACAATGATTGGTTGAACAAGCTTTTCAAAGACACACAGTTCTATCCTCTTATTATGCACAACTGCAAATTCAGTCATCTGATGAAGGTGGAAACATGCCACATGGATTAATAGATAAAGTTTGATTAGAATCTGTCAGTTTATTAAAACACACTAAACAAATTCAAGCGTGCTAATTTATTTCAGAGAAATAAATAATCCCGAAGTCGTTAAACTGGTCAGTTCGCTCAACCTTATTGTGCACCTTACTTAACCCTAACTAAATATTTCTATAAATTATTCAAATAGCTGCATGAAACTTTTAGAGAAATCGATTGCTGAATATTTACTATTGTAACTAAACACTTGTTTCCAGGATATCGAAAAAACGGCCATCATCACAACTTTCGGTTTGTTCGGATTTATGCGCATGCCATTTGGTCTAAAGAACGCCGCACAATCCTTTCAACCTTTCATGGATCAGGTCACACAAGGTTCGGATTTTGTATTTGTATACATCGATGACGTCTTAATTGCTAGCTCGTCAGCTGAAGAACATACAGCTAAATGGGAATAACCAATAGAATTCAAATAGTGAATTAGGCTACCACGTGCACCTCTGTGTTCGACTAGACTGATTTTAAACGACATGTTGCTAAGTCTCTCAGTCCTAGTTTAGAAACTGAACAGACAATCCCATGTGACTTGTTGTCTCACGAACGCTTGAATTGTATACGTGTTTACAAATCAGCACGGTGTGGGGATCGATGAAAACCAGGGAGCACTGGAAATATGTATTGAAATTAATCAAATCCCTGCAAAACCAACATATGAATTCACTAACTGTTATCAAGATGGTGTTTAAAAATAGGAAAATTGAATGATCATTCGTTTGTTCACTTAATCTTACCCACTCTTTGCGCACGAAATACTTTTAAACGACCTCAGGGCGGGAATATGCCTAAAAGATATACACATGAATAGCATTTAAATGTTTATCTAAAGATTTCGTGTAGATATTTACAGCACAACCAGACTTCACTTCTAGTTGAGAGTTGTAGTAATTCCTATTTGCAAGTATGACTTTTAATCAAAAGTGGATGAGTGCATCCACCTTCTGTGCTACTTCTCGCAGTTCCATGAGTCATTCATGCTGTCAATGGACTTGTGGAGTGGTGTTGTCCACATTTTCCGTGCATTAGGATTACACTATTTTCTAGTTTTACCTTCACCTTGCGAATGCTGTCTCTTGATTGACAAAGTCGTAAATTTCTGCTTCAAAGTTTGTCAATCTCTTTTTGTTATGCAATATGTAATTTACTGATGTTCTTCCGAGTACAATTTATTTCTCATA